GTGGGGGGGGGCCAAAATGACCCCCCCCGTCTAACTCGAAAACGAAGAGGGCTAGGACGACGCGGAAAAAAGCAAACGAAAGCCCATAACAAGTACGTTCGAAAGTATTTCGGTCATTTTTTCGCTAAGGTCAATATTGAGGTCGCTAGAGGTCATCATAGGTCAAATTTCAGTGTTTTCGGTGTTGCCGGACATATTCCGCTGTAGCTCGGAAACTAGAAGAGCTAGAGAGCCGCGGAAAAAAGCAATCGATAGCTCTTTTCAAGCTCTTTCGCCAAGGTTCGTCAGATTTGACCTCAGCTCAACGGTTTGGCCTACAGAGGTCATGCAAGGTCAACTTGGCAAATTTCTTTGAAAATGTTTTTAACTATAGCATGCATTCACGAGAAAATAGAGAAACGATTCATGCACCATCGTGCTTGGCTCGTCGAGACGCGTCGAATGATATATAGTTTGACCTCGAAAGGTCATTTTGAAAATTTGACCTCAGGTCAAGGTCATGACCTTACCGAAATAGGTCATGCTGCATATCATTCGATCCGCATTGACGAGACAAACACGATAAACGTCGAACGGAGTCTTTATCTCTATTCAATAACAAGTAAGTGCAGAAAAACCGCTGGTGACCTCTGGTGACCAGGGAGATGACCTAGCGTGACCTCAGCGAGGTCACAAGCAAATGGTTTCACATGGGCTGTGATTTGCTGACCCAAGACACTTCAATAACGAAATATAGGAACAATCACGCCCGATTTAGCTGAAAAACAACTACTTTTCGATTCTCCCATTGACTTATAATGGGGAGCAGCGATGACCTGACCTGACCTTAGGTCACATTTATAAAAAATCCGAGATAGCCATTTTGTAGAGCTGGGTGACATCTTCAAGTACTGTAAATTTTACATCGATCGGATAAAAGCTGTGCCTTTGAGAGAGCTTTGAACTTTTTTAGAGGTGGTGTCAGTTTTGGTGACCTTGTGACCTGACCTGACCTGACCCGAACCCCCCAAAAAAGGACATGATGTAAAAATGTTGAATAAACAGCTATACAAAGTTTCAGGGCGCTAACTCAAGTGGTTTCTGAGTTATCGCTGAAAAACCACAGGGGGGGGCCAAAATGGCCCCCCCCCCCACCAGGGCGAAGGTTAAGAAAACAAGTCCACTCTGCACCCTCATCGCTCAGGACTATGTTCATAAGATATTATCTATTCATAAAGAAACTTGTTTGTCTACATTCCACACCCCACGAATTTGTGTTGAAACAACGGCCCCGCACACATTACCAGTGCCCAAAGTTCTATCACTTGAAAATTAAAAATTCACCATGACAGATCGTCTTAGCCGTTATCGTATTAGCCGTTTTCACGACGGGTTATCTGGCGAATGCACCAAACTTGACCAATATACGTCAAACCTCTTTTAGACAATTAGGTATCTTTATATCATGATTTTAGTCCTAATAAAAAATAACGTTTAATAATTTTAAAAATCATGTTATATGGGCAATTGCGCAACCCAAACTGATAATTTTTAAGAAACACAACGAACCTAATTTGACCAAATATGCATCAAATATGCACCTAATGTGCACCAAATAGCCGTCGTGAAAACGGCTATAATACCTCCTTCCACCTATTCCCTGATCCAGTAGCGTCTCGGCACATTGGCCAGCCCCGCACCGGGCGCGTAGATCCAAGGCGACACCCCCTCATTACCATTAGTGGTCACCAGCGTACCCCACCACCAGCTATCAGACTCCGAGGTCGTGGTCAGCAGAGGATCTCCGTTCAAAACGCCACGTGTGTTCACCCAGGGCACGATGTTGTTGGGCGTGGTGCTGGCCAGTGGGTCCCAGGTGTCGAACATTTCCAGCAACTGCACGCCCTCAGTCTGGTTGGAGTAGCTGCTGGTGAGGGTGTAAGAGCTCGGAGATTCCCAGATTCCGCCCCAGCGCTTGCGACCGCCGGCCTCGATTCTGTGAAAAACGAACGGGCTCACGCGTTGAAAAATATATTTTTTTGAATACATATAGGCATGCGTATCGTTTGTTTTGAGAAAACGTCAATGAATCAAAGCGAGCTTGAGATATAGGTAAATCGGTACAAGCAATAGGCTGCTTGACATTTAAGGTGTAGACTTCACGCCTAACTGAGATCGTTTATTTTTTCGTTGACGTTTCAATCATCACCTATAGCCGGAAGTTCGCTTTATAGCTACTTTAAGTTACTCTAAATTGACTACAAATAAAAAATAGAAACATCGACATAAAAATGTATCTTTACCTGTATCGGAATGTTGCGCAGTCCCCGGGCCCGCACATGCTCTTGATCCAATCTCCAAGACCCAGAATGGACTGTTGACGCCGACAATGCCCGGTGTCCCTTCATTCGTCTGCAGTACACTGTCGAGATCCCATCCCAACTTAGAAACGGATGTTGTCAGCAGCGTCCATCCTCCTCCACTGAGCGTCATGTCACAGTAGAGCGGCGCCGGCAGGCCGCGGTTCCTGTAGACACCGTCAGCGCGGTAGCCCGTGTTTCTCAACATCTGACAGCTTCCCGGCAGTCGCAGCATGACGGCGCCGGTGTCCGTGACCTGGGAGTGTGTCCCAGACTGAGTGGGGAGAAGGGTACAACTTCCACCGCCTGAGGACACTGGACGGAAGTTGGCCGCCGCGCAGTCCGGCCAGTGGATACAGAGCAAGCTGCACTGAATCCTGGAGCCGGTGACGGCAGAATGCACTGGCTCAGACTCCGTTAGAAGCTCATACATCGGACTGCTTGTGAATCGACTCGCCATGGGATTGTTGTCCAGCACTCCGGCGTGAGCGCTCCAGAAGAGGTGGAATAAGATGATGACCGAGAGAGGTAGGACCGTGAAACGCCTCCACCTCCGAATAGACGTTTGCATCTTCATGGCCTCCGTGGAATAGGGATAAGTAGAGTTATCTTGAGTCGATTGACAGTCTTGATCTTGAGATTATCAGTCGCCGGAATCAGCCACAGAGCTAACTAGAGTAAGAGCGAGGCCGAAACAGCAGCGTCTGCCGCTCGTAACACGAGCCGAGGAGGAACTGAACTCACTGAAGGCTCACAAGAATGCCCCGATGAATTAGACCAAAGCTGCTTCGGTGGTTGCGGCACCGTCGTTTCCATGGTGATGGAACGCATTGCTGTTAAACAAGTGCGAGGCATGCAGGGGCGTCACCCCAACTGGGCTCATCAAGTACTGGTGAAGTATGATGGCTTTTAGTTCACCCGAGGGTCCCTCTGCCGTAAAACTCGCAGGGACATCAAAGTATATCTGTTATCAAATCGTGGTATCTTGATGTCCTGCACCGACCATGTATCGTCGGCCCATTACTCAGAATGCCCACTTTGAATACGCCAGTAGTCATCAGTTGGCTAAACCAGCTAAATTCGACCACTGCAAAATATTTTACACTTGCTTCAACGTATGTAATGTATTAGCTTCAACTTTTGCTGGCTGCAATCCCATCTTCCCACAACTCCAACAAATTCAACTAAGTGGCGTGACAAAGAAGTAGAACAATCAAGTGGAATACGCCTTCAGGGGAAACGCTTGCGTTTACGACGGTGATAAGAAATGTCACTTCGTGCCAGGAAAAAGTTTGCAGAATAAGGCTACCCCGGCCCAGCGTATGTACGTCAGATATAGGCAGGTCAGTCAAACAAGCGTAGCATTTATGAGTAAGAATGGAATGATAAGGTGGTCGAGGATCGCCACGCCGGGAGCCATAAAACGTGCTGATCTAATCGCGTAAGTGACTTGCGTTCTTGTTAGGAAGCGGTTATGTTTGGTATGAACCAGTACGTGCGCATAAACTAAAGACGCATTGCGTCTGACGCAATGATACAGAAAGACATCTACGTCCACACGCATCCCCATTCCGGGCTCGAACACCGGTCCCCGACAGGAAAGGTGGTGGCCTTTATATACTTCATTACTTCGCCCTCCGGTCACATATGTCCTTATTAACCGCCTAACGCGACTGTCTAGTGTCTACGTGGTAGAGGCAAAATATGAGTCATAAAGATTGCGAACTCAGTCAATGAAACCAGAAGCCTGAATACTTTTGCCAAATTGTCAGGGAACTCAGATTTGTTTTTCAATAGAAAAACATAATTCTAAAGAATAGTGTTCTAACTATTGACAACAAACCTTCGGTTATGAAACGATGAAGAGGGTAATAACGTCAATGAAATCAGAAGCCTGAATATGAAACGATGAAGAGGGTAATAACGAATCAAAATACCAGATTGACACATACCTACCTGCGTTATGCATTGCATTGTCTTATTTATTGCACAAGCTAATCGCAAAAGCAATTGCAGATCGTTAACGACTTGCGATATCTCATAATTAGGTGATGTGGCGTAGGCATTTAAATAACCCGACAGGTAGGAAATCAGACAGGTATAAGAGCAAAACCGCAAAAAATATCCAACTTTTTCAGTTAATTACATACATGCAACACCAATTTAAAGATAGTCAGACTCGATGCATGTGTATCCATCCTATCAACAAATTCTAAGCAGCCCGCCAGCGACTCTCTTGGCCTCCGGCCCATTTTGCCATCAGTAGTCAGTACCGCATATCATATTCACTGATCCCACTAGCCTTCACTGATATCTCGTACCCTTTGACATCGGCTCAACGCCGAAGTAACTTATTGCAGTTTGATTATTCATCGAAAAGTCTATACGTCTTCTTAAACGTAGGCATGCAATCAGACTCTTTGCTTTCAAGTAATTGCATTACTTAACCTTTTACTGGTTTCCTAGAAGAATAGGCATACCTAACATAGATGAACTTTCTACCGGCTGTTTCGTTCTCTGGCTGATATGACCATTTAAGGACGGCTCTATTCTAATTGACGTCGGTAGCCGAGTCTCAAAGACACTGATCAGCTGCCATCGGGACTAATCAGCCATAAATTAATATATCGCGTCTCTGGCCGCTGGAAGTCGTAACAGAGCTGACGTCCACTTCCGTATATTGCAAAATATCCGAGTCAGGTCGCCAGGTCATAGCCAGTGACCTCAGCGCAAAAAGTACATTTTATTCCGTCACTGCTTCGCATACCCTCATTTTGCGCCATGACAGAGTTTGACTCAAATGACAGAGCGATCGATTCAACTCCATGGATCACACTTTATTCCAACGGTCATCAGCACACCCAACGCACCATTGCTAGCTGATTAATGGTAAAACACCGATGCTACTTTACCGCTTTAGAGCTGATAGAACAAGAATCATCATTTAGCTTCCACGCCGATGGACTGAGACAGTGCAATGGATTGATGGTTTCCCTTGTGTCGCGTTCGTCAAAGGAAAGTGCGCTGGCACTGTCGTAAGAGGTTACTGGTCGTGCCTTTCATTGCCATATTAGTGAACAGTCAATGCGGTATTCGTTGCAGTCTTGCACTGCGATCTTGTAAGGGCGGGCGCTGAATAACGAGCAACAAATACCTTTCTCCATCCCTGCTGCTGGTTGTGTAGTCAGCTCACTAAAACCAGTATAACGCCTTTTGGGGCGACTAACGGAGCGAGCGAGAGGGTGGGCCTTGCACGTGCGAACATGCGAGGGGGTACCTCCAACTGACTTGTGCACGGCACCCTACTAACCGGTCTCTAGCGATGTGTCAAATTTGAGCACAATCGGCCCAGCCGTTCTCGAGATCTGGAAGCGGTACCCTGCACGTGCGCACGTGCAAAATGGGTCCCGACTGACTTTTGCACGGCACCCTACTAACCGGTCCCTAACTGTGTACCAAATTTGAGCGCCATCGGTCCAGCCGTTCTCGAGATCTGGAAACGACCCCTGCACGTGCGCACGTGCAGCAGCACCCCAACTCTGGCACATGGATACGCATTGCCTAGTGGGTGCCTACCTAAATGCCAACTTTCAGCGCAATCGGCCAAGTAGTTACCGAGATATTGCAACAATTACAAAAGTGACACCGCTTCGTTTTGCACGTGGCACGACGCACGTGCATAAGGGGTCACCCACATGCATCGGGAATAGTCCAATACTTGGTAGAAGGAATGAAGCTACCCTACAAAAATTACCGCGTGTAAATCGGTCAAGTGGTTGCTGAGATATAAGCCTCGCAAAAGCGTCCGCACGGCCGGCCGGCCGGCCGGCCGCTCATACTCAGAAATTTCCGTTAATCTAAGGAAAGACTACGCTCGCTTCGCTCGCTCCGTAATTATTTTAGTTTATTAAAGGTCCAGCCGGACTTGTGGGTGGACAGTGTGCAGTATTCTCCAATTAAACTTCGTTAACAAACGGGCGGTTCTTCCTAGCATTATATCATCACTCAATAACAAATGAAAACGCTGCTTCTTGATGCAAAATACGTTCGTGACTGCGTTCGTTTCATGGTTATACAACTGTAGGGTGACTCCACTCAAAAATATACATGACAATGACAATTTTCCGTCATATTTTCTACGTTTTAGGCACGCTCGCAATGTGAGGGCATCACGCAACACCAAATACAGAAGAAAAGTGAAGAAACTTCGTGATGGGACTGGTCCGCAGACTGGCACTACCTGTCGCCTCAAAATGTCATGTAAAATATAACGCAGGCACATTAAAGCCCTGTGGAGGTTGGAAAATAAAGATAACTTAAGTGTCGATGTCTTCTACGCATCTGATCGATCAGTCTTCAGAGAGTAGTATGCGTGGTCTGCTTTCTGTCTTTGTGTCCCCGTCACACGAGTTGTCTTGGCTAGTGGAGGGTTGCGAACTCGAACATCTTCTTGTATCCTTGATCCCATTTTCTGAACCACCAGCTCGCCTCAGCGGCGGAAGAGATGTAGCGACGGGGGTAGCCCACATGGTCTTCTCCTTGCAGCTGCGTACCGGTCTTAGTCGACCCAAGAGCAGCTCAACCATGAATGCGACAGTGGAGGCAATAAGACCGAGTACCAGAAGACCAAGTGGTGCTTGCATATGTGATAGATTGAGTGAGAGCGCGTCAGTGTGCCCCTGACCCTCCGCCGCGCGACGACCTTGGCGACGTTGTACACCTGCGAGGACATCGTCAAACATCTTGTCCACGAGACCGGCCTGGATGGCACGTTGGATCATCTGGTTTAGTTTACCGGTGAGCGGAGAGTATTTGGGTAGACCAAGCGCTACGCTGAAAGGGATGTAGCATTCGCTGGATACGTGCATGGACTCGATGCCACGTGAGTCAGTGAAGTCTGTCACCACCAGATACTGTAGCGATTGTTTCGAGTTGATGAAGGCGAAGCGGGAACGTCGTGAACGCTCCACGCCCTCGGAGAAGCTCCTGACGAACTGCATCCCGTCGGCGAGACGACGTGCCACTGGATCGGGAGAGTCCTGGAACCAGGCTTCCCATCCACCGCCTGCGCGAACCCCCCAAGTCAGTCCGCTTGCAAGGAGTTGATGCGTGGTGTCCAGAGGTATTGCCGGTGCTGGCGCCGACAGGTACGCCACCAAGTTAGCCCGGTATGCATATGCCACTACCATCGCCAACACCCAAAACTGGCCCAGGAACAACTGCGCTCTCCGAAGCCTCGGTACAGCCTCCATGGCTTCCTGCATCAGCACACCGAACCCGTAAAACGCAGTGTAGGTGAAGCTCTTGAAGCGACGATCTGCGGTACCAGACAGCGCCCACAGCACGGGAACAGAGGCGACGAAGGCGAAAATCGTGGCGATCCAGGCGCGCCAGCTGAGGGGTCTCACTAGCGCCAAGTAGTGAGGCGGTGGTTCCGGGACAGCCGCCAAGAAACAAGCGTAGTCCGTCATGTATGGTACTGTCATGTCGATACCGCGAAGTTTGTCGGCAGAGCGGAAGAGGTTAGCCATGCCGATGTCAGCGCGGTCGTGGTGCAGGTCGCCAAGAAGGCCATTCCACGTGCCGTCGACTGCCCGGCCTCCCCACATGCCACCGTCTGAGGGAGTGGTGAAGTTCACCACGAAGTTGAGCACTGACGCGAAGGCGAGTACTAGTCGACTTTCGAGACCGTCGTGTATCGTGGATCCATCAGCGGCCTGCAGCAGCATGTTCTTCGGCGGATAGTGAAAAGTTACAGCCTTTAAACTGCGTCCACCCAGGTCGGACAATTTGTCTGGGAACAGCTCCTGGTCTGGCCACAGTCTGTACGCCGCAAAGTGCGCCACCACTCCTGCTGTGATGCCTTCTCCGCGGACAAAGAACCGGTGAGAAAGAACCGGCACTGCAGTCGGTGGGGCTGAGAACGACGTAGCCACCACAACCAAGTGCTGGAGCTGACTTCGCGGAGGCCGACGCAGCGCCGCTGCCGCGAATGTCGCATTCTGCTCAGTAAGTTCCACGAAGCGTGCTTGTCTGCTAAAGGTATCGGCATAACGCTCCAAGAAGGCGCCACAGGTTTCCAGCCTCACACAGGCTAGCACGAAGAGCAGACATTCACGACGCACGCCCATCAGTCGGGACAGACTGCCATCAGTTTCCGTCACATCCAGATGCGTAAGAGGCGCCGACCAGTCGACTGGCGTTGCTGTTTCGACGGGAAGCACGTGCCTTTCGGTGGCGAGAACCACCTGGCAGGGCTGTGCGCGGCGTGATATCAGGGTTAGAAGGTCTGCCAGCGGGGCGGGCTCGGCCAACGCGGGCAGAGCGAACAATAGGAACCAGAGCATCGCAGTGCCTCTGGCAGTCGTCCAGTGCAGGAAGTCCAACTTCCTATTCAATGTTTCATTCCAGCCGTTCAAGAGTCGCACCAGTTATCCGACTCACTTCTTCACTTGTACAAGAAGAATTACAACTGCTCGGAATCCGTCACAGTTCTAGTCGCTTTGATGACAGTTTCAGGTAGTTGAGGACTGCTCCAGCTGTTTGGTGACAGCTCTAGCTGTTTGACGACAGTCCCAGTCGTTTGTTGACAGTTCCTCCCAATTGATGACAATGCCAATCGCCCAGAGAGCGGAGCTGCTTTAGCCGTCCAGGGAGCCACTCCAGCCGCGGATGAGGCCCTTTCTAACGTCCAACTGCCTCGGTGTTCCCTCAATCAGCAGCTTTATCAGTGGCGGCGTCCCTGTCGCTCAGGTCTCAGCCAATCGCCAGTGTCATTAAATCAGATCGACAAGACTAAATGAATCAGGTGGACCTCGACTTCAAGCTGCTCAGACATTCATATAACGGTTAATTTTTCGTCGTTGCGGATCAAACCTTTCGGAAGCAGAATTGTTGAACTTGCTTTCGTATGAGCTAGTAGGGTTGCAAAATGTAACCGTCGGTGACCGCTGTCTTTGCGGCTTGAAGTTTCAGATGGATCGATAGCATCTTTTCAGCTGCAAACGTTAGCCTCCACTATTACAGTTCAAATCGAGAGGTCAAGTAAATGTTAGACCTTTGCAGACGGGTCAGTCGTTAGAGTGTGATTTTGGCAAATGACGGATAGAAAATGCCTGAGTATTTCAGCGGATCCAATTCCCCCTACTAATTAAAGCTTAATTTCGGCGAGCGTGATTTGAGAATCATCCGTGAAGACATAACCATGATAGAACATCATAGGCTGCGGAACGGGGGGGGGGGGCACCGGGGCACCGTGCCCCCTTTGATTTTGGCATTTTAACATAAGCCCTATGGGCGTTGCATGGAAATAATGGGACCAAGTCAGCGGTGCCCCCCCCCCCTAATTGAAGGTGTTCTGCCGCCACTGTATGTAGAATACCAAGCAGCGAGTATCATTTGAAAAACCACCGTAGCAAATTGCCGATGACTGTAAGCAAAGTGACCTTTATGTAAAGCTGCAGGAGCATTGAATGCAGTGATGACCCATTTTAAGACATATGACGGTGTGCAACGACTAGCCATCGATATACACTTAGTCGCTGCTGAGTGCTACTCATTGTTGATTCGCTGGCTGTGCAGCTTTCTTGCAGCTGTTGTTGCGAAGTAGCAATTGGACGCACATCAAATGGTACTGGTGAACGCCTAATGGACAGGCGTGCCCAAGTCTACTCACACTTTACTAACAGGCTACTAACAGGCGCGCCGCGCGCCCTGACAAAAGGAGGAAGGTCGAACATGGGAGATGCTTGGTCATCGATCATAGCAGTCAATCGATCAGTCAGTATAGATCATCCTACATAACACTGGTGATGGCAATAGAAGTCACCTCTTCTATATTTATATTTCTAACTCGTGTTCAAGTTTATACTAAGCAGTAAGCACCATCATCGTGCTCATGCCATGGTCTTCAATGATGAGATCCATCTTATGAGCTTTTGAAGTTGTTCAAGCTCAATTTTGCTATGATGGTTCTATCTCAGAAGAGAGGAGATATGTTTTTATGTTTAGAGAACTATGTTGGCATATTTATTCGACAGGTGCATACAGTAGGACAAGCACGCACTAGTGTAGCCGCCACGCTATCCTCACTGAGGCAGTGTACCGATGCCCGGTCACTAACAAATGAGTCCGTTACAAATGACTCATTGGTGAAACGTAACATTGAGCTTAACTAGGGGAGAGCGGGGCCAGTTGAACCACTTTTTATATATTGACATGCACAGCGAGATCTAGTTGTCATATCGAAAAATGCACAATGCCATGAAAAAATATGCTCTTTTGGCTGTATTTTAAGATATGTAAAATTATGTTTCAAACATATTTTGCTGCCAAACGCATGCTTATAAAACAGCTCTACGCCCGTTTCAAATGACCCCGATGCGAGGGTCAATTGAAACAGCCCATGGGGTCAATTGCACCTATCCTTAACAATGGGATGTTTTCCTCCTTAAGGCCACTTTCTTAACCCGCGCCCTGGTGGGGGGGGGGGCTATTTTTTGCCCCCCCTCCAGACTTTTCGATATATCTCCAGAACCGCTGCGCCGATCGTCACCAAACTTTCAGTACCCTCCCGGACATCAATTTTACACATTGTGACCAAAAATTGTTCCAAAGGCTATGATAGGTTGGCCGGAAATGACGTCAGAGTGACGTCATGTTCTGCCGTTTTCGACCCAAAAAAGGGTTTCGCGGGAAGAGCTGTCAGGCCTATAGCTTTGCAAATACAGAAAAAAACGATAAAGACATAAAAGCTGTAGAATTGACAGGGCTACAAAACTGCTATCTCGGATTTTTGAAATTTTTGGATTTTAACCCCCAAAAATCAAAAAATAGATTTTTGATTATAATAGCCGAAAAATCCAAAAAGTTTTTTGAATTTCGAAAAAACCGGAATATATGTGATAGTCCTTACCGCCTTCTATCTACATACCAAATTTGAGATCGATACCTCTTTTTTTTGGCCAAGTTACAGCGAAAAAACTGTTCAAAATTGATGACGTCAATTTTTCAAACTCAATTTTTAGCAATTCTAGACCTTGTAGCGCAAAACAAAGACCACCATTAGACTCCCCGTGACGAGCTGCATCGAATCAATACCCATTTTATGCAAAAATATCAACTTTGAAATTTGACCTTTTTTGACCTGACCTTGACCTGACCTCCACCAGAAAGTGACCTAAGCCGTACCTGATAGTCTTATAACCAACACCATTGAGTTGGAAATGAAAAATTGGCCATAAAACATGCATCGCACAACCTTAGTACCTAAAGTTAGGTTCATGTGACCTGACCTGTGACCCTTGGTGACCTGACCTGTGACCTGACCTGGTAATGTCAGTGACCTCTTATAGCAATATATGTACTAGGCAACTGACGCCCTATCGCTGATTCTCGACAAAATGCGTTTTCTTCGGTGTTATAGCGCATTCCCTAGATGACCCGTGAACGGTGAAACATTTCATCTTTGACCTGACCTGTGACGTCATCGGTGACCCCGAGGTCAATGAAATTTGGTTTCCCTCGACAAATTTGACAGGTCTTTTGAACACCGTTTGAATTTTGCGGATCCGTCCAGTAGTTTCGGAGATACGAGGGGGGGCAAAAAATAGCCCCCCCCCCCACCAGGTCGCGTTATAAACAGACCCCACCAGGGCGCGGGTTAAGGAGATATTTCGTCCGGTTTACTTTTCCAAATGCTACATTCAATAGGTCGTTGGAAAGCTAAAAGTGCAAAGTTCCTCATAATAGGTGACATAAAGTACATAGACTATGGTAAAATGGGCGGATGAGAAAAATGAGAAATATCTCAGGCTATAGTGTGCTTTCAAGCAAAAGGCTGGAGAAAAAGGGGTCAAAAATTGAGCTCTATTAAACTACTATTTCAGTTTAAAAGCTCATTTCAAAGGTGGACTATTTCCTTTAATGTTTACAGCCCCTGAACAATAACCATTGCAAAGGTCACCGGGGTCCATTGAAACGGCCTGTGACCCTGTTTCAACTGACCCTCAGAGAAGCGTTTCAATTGACCCCATCCGCTCCCGCCATCTCGCACGCGCCGTAAAGCACTTGTCAAACGAGCTGGAGGGACGGCATCATGCTGAATGAAGGGCCAAATAAGGTGTTATTCCGGAGCCAGGAGTTCTTCTTTCAGCAAACAACGGTATATGAGATATCACAAAATATTCATAAGAACGATTTCTCCCAAACGCCCCTCAAAAACACAAAAACAAGTGTCAAATCAAAATTACCGTCCGTTTGCCGCCCAAACGCCGTTGACAAAGGAAGTGGTCGAGCGCGGATGCGCAGTGGTGTCGGCAACGCCATATGTTGCATACTGTTGAAAATAAAGCCATGTTTCATCTGACCCCGTGTTTCAACTGGCCCCGCTCTCCCCTACGCAGTTTTAACATGCGCAGTTAACTACAATCTTCTTAATTACGACCTCAATTAAAAATATACAATTGCTGACATTAAACATTCAATATACTTGTTCAGTGCTCCTATCGCATGTCATTTGACATTCATCAACTATTCTGTGTAGTCCCGAAACTGATTTCTTGACTCTTCGAAGAAGTGCTGTTTTGTAGTGTCACGGTGACTATATATAGACGAATGACACAATTGACCATATCCTAACAGATGTACATCTCTCACAGACTATCAGGCAGGAACGGGAACTTTCTCACAAAGAAGATAACGTAACAACCAATGCAGCCTACTGTTGTCGAAAGATATACGACGTTACAACATCCTCGTGCCTAGAATGGAACATTTAGTTAAACGGCCTACTACAGCTCCCGGCCTAGGAAACCTTCATGACACCAGTTTCATGACTATAAAGTGCTGTCTGTCGGCTGCCCCGGTAACATGTCGTTTAGTGACTGCCCTGGCCCAGAGATTCTCCAGTACGGCGATTGCGAGGCCGAGGGCCACTCCCAGAGGAACCAGTGCGATGGAGGCCAAGGTGTTCCCCAAAGACATGGCCTTGGTGTCCGATGAAGAAGTGCACATGTTCTCGATGCGGCTGAATCTGTTGAGCTTTAGGTGACTCATCAGACCCAGCTCTGAGATCCTCAGAAGTTCGGCATACATGAGTCTCCTCAGTGCTGGCTGACCCTTAGCGATCACAAAGTAGTTGGGGGTGAGTTTGGCCGGCTGGTCCAGTAGTGGCACAAGGGAACAGGCGGCGTCTCCAACCTTCAACTTCAGTTGCTTTATATCGATAAAAGTCATCACCTTCGGCTGGGTCGTAAGCCAAAACGACTGAGCATCACCCAATTCAATGACGCCGTCGTGACTCGATATCCTTCGGTAGATTTCTCTCTCGTACTGATCGGGGCTTGTCTGCCAGTCGTTGACGACACCGTACCCGGATTGCATGGCCAGCTTCCAGCCTGGCTGCTCGGTGAACTCGCGAAGACTGCCGATCGGACGATGTACGGTGACCACGGCGAGGTCTGAGATCAGGTTGGCCGTGAAGCTGTTGACGATGATGATGTTGATCATCCAGCTGATGATGGTCACGATCCTGGCTGATGATGAGGTTGGTACGATGGCCCAGCTCTGTCCAACTAGAGACATGTAGTTGTAGAACAGACAAGAGCCGAGTGACATCTCGGTCACAGTCTGGATCCTTTCTCCATAGCCCTGATTGAAGTAAATGACGACTCGAAGCGCCACAGAGAGGACAAGAAGTACACCGAGCACTGCCCACCATACGTGGGCGTGTAGCGGCCTCAGTAACGATCCCGCCATCTGTGCAGCAGTTTGAGGAACATCTTCAGTCCCTCCAACAATGTGAAAGGCGTCGTAATTCTCCTCGATGGCAATGTGAATGTAGTCAACGACAGAGCTGCGGTCCGGTCGGTCGAGGAGCCAGGTCAGCGCCACGTCGGCCCTGCCGTAAAACAGTTCGCCAACCATGCCAGACCAAGTGCCGTTGGGGTGGCGGTTGCCGTACCCCCATCCCTCTGGCTCCACCATCCGGTATTGAAGGTTCAGGTTCCCGGCAAGCAGTTTCCAGATGTCGTACAAGTACCCGCTGTAGACGTAACTGCCGTTTGCCATTTTCTCCATCGATACGTATGGAGGATCGTGAAAGGCAACCACACGCAGCTCCCCGAATGAACCGCTGGAGAAGGCTGTCTCTTCCGACCATCTCTCACCCACTGAGATTAGATGGCCTAGACGCTCCATGACTTCTCAAGCTGATCTCAGTTTTGGCGATGTCCAACAGACATTTCGGAAGAGACTTTGATGTGACGTAAACTTCGCATTGAACAGCAGGAACCTGGTGCGAGCCAGTGGCTGCTTGGAGCCAGCTATGTATGCACGCTACTGACCAGTAGCGTCACCAGGCACCAGTGCCTCACCCCATGTGCAACGCTGCACTGAGTAGTGAACATAACCGATGCCGAGCCAGCGACAGCCGATAAAATCGAACTGAGTGAGGAGCCTCGTTTGAAGTGGAACCCCGTGGGGACACCAGCTCTGATGGACGACTTTTCACTCATCACTGTCACCAGACCAAGTGCATCATTGTGTGTTTGTACAAGACGGGTTTCCCCGCCAGAGCTGCGTCAAATGGGAGGATAAATTGCTTTTGAAGTCACCTCTATGCCCACGGGCTGTCCTAAAGCGTACTGAGGACTCGAAACTACGAGAACAAGCTGAAACTACGAGTGATCGAGTACCTACTTAGCAAAATGCCAAGTTATGTTGCCAAGTTATTATATCGTAATGTTGGTTATGATGATGATCGACGTGACCAGAAACAGCTCGCAAAAATTGTCTTATGCATAGAACGAACTAGACGTTTGGACGATTTTTAGAACATAGTTTTCATTCAAATGTATTAGACCAGCATGTATTACATCACATTCCATGATAAAAACAATGAAAATGCAATGCCAGACGAGAAAGGACTCGAGGATCGGCCACTTTTCGCGGAAACTCGTCTGGAATAAAATAGGAATGGAATGATCAAGTTCACCTCGCGGGCGGGGGTCAGGTCATGATTGGCGGGTGTCGGGTCACGGTTGGGGTCATACAACGATGGCTACAAGGTCAGATAACGGTGACTAAGTAGTTAGATCATGTAAGTTATGAAGTAAAGTCGCGATGGGCGCAAGGACAACCCGAAGTGTGGGTGTGTCAGGAAGAGGAGATGGAGAATGAAGTCGCGGTAGATGCGTAGCCACGTTGTATCACTCCCGATCTCGTGCGCTTCATACGGACATCAGCGGCCGTGCTCTCCCTACAGCGGGGTGGGGTTACGGCAGCACCAGCCCGCTCCCTTGGGACACCCAAACAGGTAGCACTCCTTGCCCCTCTCACGGCGACAGTGGCGCCGGCAGTCCTCTGAAAAACAGACAGAGGGACATCGTCACCGAGCAAAATTAGGTGGCAAAAGAAGACCATCAGATGAAAAAGAAGAAAAATTCTAAGTGATATCTCTTTCGTGCCCCAAAAGGAACGTTAGGCAACTATAAAGTGCCTGCAAGTCTAGTCTTCATCAACTTTGGCCAGTCCGGCTAAATTTAGTCGTAAGTCACCGCACAATGGACCTTTTTAACATGAAGTGGTCCCGTGAGTCCTTCATTTGCACTCTTTAGCTAACGCAGGGGGTGTCGAAGTCTAGTAGGAAAATCTGGCAAATTCCCTGCGTGACGTCACGTCGGGGATGACCGACGGCACCTTGCACTGAAAGATACGGCAGAACGGCTATTTTTGAAAAATGATTAAAAATACTTTTGTGCTGTTATGACGCATAAAACGCTTATCAGCATGTTCCTCATCATGTGATAAAGGCATATCCGTGGTCGAAAATAGCTGAGCCCCTCCCAATTTCCAACCACCGACCTCATAAGCAAAGGATGTAAGCGTAATCCTTAAGGGCGACTTTCCTATACATATCCGTACATATGCGTCCTTATGGAAATCGGTAGTGTGGCGATTGGCGACGCGCGCGACATCTGTGTGGCGACCAAGTGGCGACTGTGGCGACACCTGGTGGCTGCTTTTCTGCTGTATGTAGGCATTGGGGTTTTGCCAGATGTGGTTCCTACTGCTACACCACTATGTTGACCCAATACTAGAAAAGTTATTTTGCTAGTAAAAGGCAAGCAAATTGAAAGTTGATTTATAAAATTGCTTATAAATGATTACGAGATAATAATAAAGAAATTTTGATTGAATAATTATTTAAATAATCAACCGTGAAACTATATTCTGGTAGGTTTAGTAGAAATAAGTCCGTGCAACCTTGTATTTAGGGCCTTGAGCTAACGAACATCACGTCCTCGGCACCCACCTAAGGTGTTGGGCTGCCGCCGGCAGCAGAGTCGGTCACTGGCAGCCTCGCAGGGCAGACAGATGCCCTCCACTCCGCACGGCTCGGCTATGTAGGCGTCCGGACGGTCACAGCTGGGGACTGTGGGTGGGTGGGTGGGGGGGGGGGGGGGGAATGGCAGAGAGTTACAGACGGAGAGAGTGGGCAGTGATAGATGGACAGATGGACGATCTGTTGCAGACCCTCAGTGACCGGCAGATGAACGGAGGGTTACTAACGGATTGACATTGTCAATTAAGATCGCATAACTAATCATGAGCATCACTTATCATTCAAAGCACGATTTACAGTCGAATAACTTTTTGAACTCAACGACTTGGGATCAATAGCGATTGCAACTCCTGTTCTGACTGATTCGTGAAGACCCAGAAAGCGGAACCCGCGTTTCATCGATTCAATTCTGTCACATTGGTTGATTGATTCTAACAGGCTCTGTTAACTGCGGACAGTGCGAGGAAATTCCCTCTATATACGAGCACTCACAGCAGCAGGCTCCTCCCGGCAGAGGACACGGGCCGCAGTTGAACCCGCTGGGGCAGACATCACCACCCTCACCGCACTGGGAAGAACCTGGGAAGAGGGAGGAAGGAGAGAAGGAGATGGAGAGAGAGAGAGAGAGAGAGAGAGAGAGAGAGAGAGAGAGAGAGAGAGAGAGAGAGAGAGAGAGAGAGAGAGAGAGTCAGTCGTGGTGTTACAACATCGACAGCCTTAGCGGCACAACAATTAAGTAGAGCTCAATAAACTGACCCACAGTAGAAAATAATTAATCTATAACAAAGGTTTGGGGAAGTTTATCTACTATTTTGATTATCTACTCCTAGAATAAGCCCACAATTCACTTGTTTCGTTCCCCACAAGACGTGAGCAGCAGTTATGGCCCCACTTACGGCGCCTGCAGCAGGTATTGGGACCGCACTCGCCTCCGCAGGTCTGACCCGAGGGGCAGGCCGAGCCGCCCTGCTCACACGGGAAGTTGTCTGCGGAAGTAGGTGAACCATTCATTATTACAGCCGTTTCTGTAGCGTTTTTTTTTTTTTTTGCTAGATATTATGTAGAATAATAATTTGTCCAACATTTTGATTTCGACATATTATTTAGTGCTGCGTAGTGCCAAACATTGAAAATAACAGGATTCAACATTCTCTTTTTATAAGGTTTTACATGTTTTGGGTTTCCACTAGGCTTTACTACGTTACTAGAATTCACCATCTAACTAAGATCTACTTGCCGGGACATTTGGTGCCCGGTCGGCACCGCCTTCGGCCGCGAGAAGACTGCTGTTCCGGCTCGGACGACCCCGAGGGACCCGGACGTCCTGAAGAGGGCCTCCGGCGGCGGCCGGGTCGCGACTGACCCCCCTCCGAGGGGTCAGTGGGTACCTCCGGTCCCGACTCCGGCCTCCGGCGACGAGAGGGTCTCGACGGACGATCGGGGGAGGGGGAGCTGGGTCGAGAGTCGGGGGACGACTCGGGTCGCCGGCGACGATTGGGTCTCGAGCTCGACTGGGAGTCCAGGGGATTACCGATCACCGCGTCTCCTGGTGGAGTGGTAGAAGGGGAAGCTGGAGACTCGGATGAAGGGTTGAGGGGAGGCTCCGACGGCGTTTCTTCTGAAGGCGGAATCAGGACGTCGACAGGCAGCGAAGACGACGTCTCAGGAGTTATTGCTGCGAAAGGAAAAATAGTTGTTAAAGGGACACTCCCACCTTAACATTAGTTTTGAGTTGAGATAGCCAAATTGGTGGCCATGGCCTGCAAATACCGGTTTGGGCACTCACAACATCGACAAATGCTTTAATTCGGAGATATGGAATTTCAAACTTGCAGTTTTCGGATTCTAAGGGGCTAGTGCTTTGGTATGCCCCCTTAGAATTTGTGACGTCAGCGGAGATCTAACGATTTTTAAATCTTTTACTAAAACGTTTGGTAGCACGCGGTGGTATATGCTGCTTTGCGCGCAACAAATGCCGCACTTTCAAATAAAGTCGCTAGGAACAGCGGAGATCCCAAAAAGTAAACAAAAGTAAAAGTCTAATATCTTGAAAACCGGTGAATATTTTTCGATGAAATTTGGTAGATATTCGTTTTCGCTCTTTCTGAACCGAGCGACATCACTTTCGTGCCAATTCATTAACTTTTTTGAAGGTGGGAGGGTCCCTTTAAGACCACGTTAAAATTGCACCGCAAAAACGTCAATACGAATTTCCAATCCTTTCAACAGTTATTATGACAATGATAACGAAGAAATTGTCTCTAGGTTCATAACAATGTGTGTGACAAAAACAACACAACGCCCGTCAAGGGATAAGTAACGATAGTCAGCTAGCCCCGTGTTATCTCCCTCACGTTTCTGGAGCAGAAAATCAACGGCCTCATTGCAGCAGCGTGGCCCGGGGCCGCAGACGGGCCCTCCGCACGTTTCCCCAGTTGGACACCACGCTCCGCCCTTACTGCAGTGTAGCTCACCTGGAGGCACTGCGGGACCGGGGAGAGGACCGGCGATCATACCTAAATGAAATCCTGTCCGATATTACACTGTAGCCCACAACATCAAATGGAAGCGTCCGCAATAAACCTGATTGAGCGTACATTGCAGCCAAATACACAGTCATGTCAATACTTTTTTTGTAGATGGAAGAGTGCACCAGTCGTAGTTTACCCCTTTTATGAAACTCTGCCATCCCAAAAGACGCCTTTTCGTGAAATTCATCCATCCCAAAAGCAGCCTACATCGCTACTCTACCTGCCTAGGTATCTACTTCTAGGTGTGACCTACCTGACATTCCTATCGGCTGCCCCATCAAAACATTTAATTCCAAGCGGTTCCCACGCCATTTTCCAACCTACCTTGTGCCGTAGCCGACGTCAAGGCATTCAGCAGCAGCAGCCCCAGCAGCAGGGGCATCAGCAGCTGCCTGGGCGCCATCGTGTCAGACACTGACGTCCAGCAGCGTCCGCTCACTGCCCAAGACGACCTCGCGGTGACCGCGGCTGTTCGTCGTATCGTATCGTACATCGTCGGCCCGAAGTCACGCGAATCCTTGTAGGGATCGGCGGTGGACCGCCCCCCCCCCTTGACGTGGGGTAGAAAGGGGGGGGGGGCAAACAGGACAGGTACAGGAAACAGGCGGCAGCACTGAGTCATTGCTGAGCGGAACGCACGGTGGAACTTGGTGTCGGTCACAGAAATTCATTGGCAAGTCCATTCTTGAAATTGATGCGACAGCTCAGAAAGGCAACATTTGTGCAATTGTTACCTGCTTTTCATAAAATGTAAATAAATATACCATAATATACCTGCATAGCCATGACTGTCGAAGTTGTTCAATTCCACTCAAACGACTGTCTAGTAACCAAAGACATTCCAATTCTGCTAAGACTTGTCGGACATGTCACTAAATTACAACTTCCTGGCGCAAACCGTTTCGAATCTACAACCAAAGGTAATGCGTGGTGGAGTATAAAAGGACCAGCTGCAACGAATATTGAATAGGGTAAACGCAGGGCAGAAAGTCGCTTCAATTTAATCCAGTTAATCATACGTCAGGTGCCACCGTGCGCCAGCCCGATTCAGCGCGGCAAAGGTGTCCTGACTGAGGGCCGCACCGAACTGGCCCTAACCGGTACGGACGGGGCTAATCGCGTGCGCGAACCGGACTAGCCTAGCACACACCTGCAATGTTCCGGCGATGTTAGCTTGGCTTTTTTACACCCATTTACATGTTCCGGGTACAATTCGGTAGTACTACTTACGAGGATTGGGGCGACTATTCCGCCGGTGTATTATTGCTTTAATTGAAGCGGTCACATTCTTGTTTTACCACTGAAAGCTGCTAGAGGTTGTGAGTGACCAGTGGGTCAAAAGAAAGAAGATGAATTCGCTTCACCTGTACTTCGGCCGGTTGAAATATTATTTGGGACTATACGGTATTATCATGGATGAGATAATACTATATCATCCATGGTATTATACACGGATGTATATTGTAGGTATATTGTATCATACCATGGATGCTATTCATAATACTATAGGGTTGACTATTAAGTAATGGAAGAGCCCTCAGCAGTCAGCAGTCAGCAATGACAGGTTTTTGCACGTGCACGCAATTTTTTAGTTTGATCAGTGATCACGTACACCGATCTTGTTTCTTTCCACTGGTGAAAACCAGATGTCGTTAGCTACATTCTGCTCTGAGTCATCACCGTTTTTCCAAGAGGTCACCTAAACCTGTGGAGCAGCATAAAAAAGGGAGCCGGGCAATGGCCAAAACCGCGCGGCAGAGGTCATCAGAGCTCACAGCTCAGTAGCTCATTGTAACATCTCACAAGCTCAATTAGCTCATATTTCATTGCCATATCGCGTATGCCTAAATGCCTAAGCGCCTATCACCCAAGATCATTTTCCCCCTTGGTCTCGCGCATGCGCAGTGTGTACTCTCTTGAATGCCCCCGAACGCTGCCTGTCCGCGATGTTCGCCCCCTCTCCTTTGAAATCGATGACACCACCGACATATCGTCTGTAGGGAGGCTGCAGTCGCCCCACACACTTTCAAAAGAAATGTCTCGATCTCGGCAGGCCTTTTTCCTACCACAAGCTGAGCTCCGATGACCTCGCGCCACGCTGCGCGCTGGCGCGCGGTTTTGGCCATTGCCCGGCTCCTTTTTTATGCTGCGCCACAGGTTTAGGTGGTCTCGTGGTCTCGTGGAAAAGCGATGACAGCTCAGAGAAGAATGTAGCTAACGACATCTGGTTTTCACCAGTGGAAATAATAAAATCGGTGTATGTGATGACATTAAAGGGACCCTCCCACCTTCAAAAAAGTAAATGAATTGGCATGAAAGTGATGTCGCTCGGTTCAGAAAGAGCAAAAACGAATATGTACCAAATTTCATCAAAAAATATTCACCGGTTTTCAAGATATTAGACTTTTACTTTTGTTTACTTTTTGGGATCTCCGCTGTTCCTATAGCGACTTTATTTGAAAGTGCGGCATTTGTTGCGCGCAAAGCAGCATATACCACCGCGTGCTACAAAACGTTTTAGTCAAACATTTAAAAATCGTTAGATATCTGTGCTGACGTCACACATTCAGAGGGGTATACCTATGCATTAGCCCCTCTGAATCAAAATGCTGCAATTTTGAAATTCAATATTTCCGATTTAAGGCATTTCTCGATGTTGTGAGTGCCGAAACCGGTAATTGTGAGCCAGGGACCCCATTTTGGCTATCTCAACTCAAATCTAATGTTAAGGTGGGAGGGTCCCTTTAAAAAATGCGTGCACGTGCAAAAACTTTTTTTTTTAGGCGCGAGCTTTCGGAGCGGTCGGACGTCTCTCATCGAGCTCCCGGCCTGAACCAGACATAGTCCTATTCCCTACGAAGGCTCGGAGCCGGTAATCCTTCCCTGCCTATTGCCATCTCACCGACGGAATATTCCGGAGAAAGAAAGAAATGCCACCCATCATACGGTCACCGGCCTCGAAAAGGAAAAAAACTGCCGCTCTATCTACGGACGCCGCGACGCCGCCGTCCACGCCAGTCTCGCCTACGGGGATAAGTGGTGCGTCAAAAATGCCCCTCTCCACAAACAAAACGCAGCGATCCACGTGTGAAGGCCAAAGTCAGCAAAATGACCATGGAGATGAGTTTGTGAGTGCGGGGACATCGAAAGGCGAGGTTGGAGAGGATCTGCCCGGTTTGTCAGCCGGAGCTACAGGTATGACCAAAGCTGTTGGGAAGCTTTCTGATGAGGCGTACCACCCATGGGGGGCCAACTCAAACCCAAATTCTAGATCTAACAGTGACGTAGGCAGTGACCCCGACAAATCTATGTGCAAGGGGGGCCCAGGCAGGAAGACCTGTGGTGAACCAGTCGAGGATGGGATACAGTGTGACATGTGCGGGTTCTGGTTCCATGCACTGTGCCAGCAGATTTCTAAGCCAGCTTTAAATGCACTTAAAAAGTATGAGGCTCTCTCGTGGCTCTGCGATACCTGCAAAGTTGGGATCAAAACTCTCGGAAGCTCTCGTAAAGGGGAAAACGGAACAGCTAGCTTCTCCAAGCAGGTCGAATCTCTTGACCAAACTGTTAAAGAACACATCAAAATGTTAGAACCAGTACTGGGAATGCAGTCCAAAGTTCAGTCCCTGGAAACGAAGTTAGACCAGCTTGAGCATTCTGTCCGCAACCATGTCAGGCTTGTGGAGTGCTCAATGAGAGAACAGGAGAAAGCTGCAGCTGACCAACTCACTGTGCTTAAGAAGTCGTTTGAACAACAAAGCATTCAAAAAACATCATATGCAGATATGCTCAAGAGCACTTGTACGGATGTGGTAAAGGAGGTCAACTCAAAACTGGATGCAATGCCAAAGTCTTCTCCCCCCAAGGATGAGGCCAAAATTGCTCGTGACATGTCATGTGTCCTGGAAGACTATCTTGATAGGGACAAAAGAAAACTGAATGTGGTAGTTCACAACCTGCCAGAAGAGCAGGGAAACACAGCAGCAGAGAGGTCCTCAAAGGACCAAGCAGCTTTCCAATCAGTAGTCATGGACGCCCTGAAGCTTCGGATCAACCCAACTAAGTCCTTCCGTGCTGGGAGAAAGATGCCGGACAAACCCAGACTTCTGATAGTTTCTCTGGACTCTGTGGAGGCTAAGCTTGACCTTCTGAGCATGGTGTCCCATTTGAAGGATACCAACTGGAAACACATATACATCAACCCTGACCTTACAAAGCTGGAGAGAGAGGAAGGGAAAAAACTGAGAGCAGAATTGAAGTCCCGAAGGCAGGCAGGTGAGACTAACCTGTCAATCAGGCGAGGAAAAGTTGTGAAGCTGTCATCAAGGGCGTCTGATGGTACAGAGCCCAACGAGACTCGGAGCTTCGGTGAGCCCAGCAATGGCAGTGCTCAGTCTCGTATTGCAGGGAGGGACAGACAGGATTGACTTGTTGAAGGTACAAGAAAAGACACAGCAATTCTGGCAGTTGGTCAAGGTATATCTGTAATGTACACAAACGCGGACCAGTTCATCAACAAAAGGGACGATCTTTACATGGCAATCAGTGGGGATGAACCAGATGTAATTTTGATAACTGAAGTTATCCCTAAAGCCCAGGTCCTCCCAATCGCACCAGCTCTTCTCACTCTTCCAGGATATTCAATCTTCACCAATTTTGACCCATCCGAACAGAATCTGGGATCCAGCGGGTGCCGGGGCATTGCCATCTATGTCAGGGAGAGGCTACAGGCATCAGTCACGATATTTGACAGTTCCTTCCAAGAGCAGCTTTGGGTGAAAATCAAGCTGGCTGGAACAGACCAACTTACAATAGGATGCATTTACAGGAGTCCATCGGGTGACAACCTTAGAAGCACTCATCTGTTATCGGAACTGCTTAGGAGTGTACGAGACTCCAACCCCACTCACTTGTTGATAGCTGGTGACTTCAACATACCCAACATTGACTGGGATAACAACTTCTCAGCTGCTGGTGAGGGGCACCACTCACATGTTCTTCTTGATGCAATAGCCGACTGTTTCTTATCTCAACATGTTTACCAACCCTCTAGATACAGGCACGGAGAGACTCCACACATACTTGATCTTGTCTTGTCAGACGAGGCCTCCCTAGTTCAAGACATGACGTATCTCCCTGGATTGGGGAACAGTGATCATGTCACACTGAGATTCAAGCTCGCTTGTTATGCCTGCAAAACAGAGTCATCTGTCAAGAAGTACAACTACTGGAGAGCCGACTACACGGAGTTAAACAGACGCATTAGCATTGAGGACTGGGGGGTCATGAATGGGCTTGATGTCGACGAGAGCTTCAGCTTTTTCAAAGCTGTGTTGAAGAAACACGTCGCTCATTGTGTTCCACTTACCAAGACCAAGCCCCGCAAAAAGAATATATACATGACGAGCCAAGCACTCAACCTAAAAAAGCTGAAGAACGAGCTTTGGGCACAGTATGCACAATCCAAGAATGCCATTGACCTAGCACGCTTCAAGCGAACTAAGAACAAACTAAGAGGACTCACAAGGAGACTGAGGAGGGACTACGAAATGGACGTGGCTGCAAGCATCAAGGAAGACCCAAAGAAGTTTTGGAAGTACATCAACTCCAGGACGAAAGCAAGATCAGGAGTAGGCGACTTAAAAGACGAAAACGGTGGATTGGCCACTGATGGTGGTGTGAAGGCATCCATCCTGAACAAGTTCTTTTCCAGCGTTTTCACGGAAGAAGACCTTGTCTCTGTCCCCCACCCACCAGTCCACTGTGGAGACACCCAGTTCAACAGGATTGTCATCACAGATGAAATGGTAATGGGCAAGCTGATGAAGCTAAAGACTTGTAGCTCACCCGGCCCGGACGGCATACACCCAAGGATTCTCCGGGAAACCGCACGATCAATCGCGTCACCACTCGCTGAAGTTTTCAGAAAGTCCTTGGCAAGTGGGAGACTACCTCAAGACTGGAAACTGGGCTCAGTGACACCAATATTCAAGAAAGGCGATAGAAGTCTCCCTGGAAATTACCGGCCGGTCAGCCTCACTTCTGTTCCTTGCAAGGTGCTGGAGTCACTGATAAGAGACCAACTGGTGGAACACCTGTCGGCCACTGGCCAGCTCTCCAAAGATCAACACGGGTTCAGAGCGAAGAGATCCTGCACCTCCCAACTCCTAGAGGTACTAGAAGAATGGACGAGGACCCTCGAACACGGCAACCCGCTCGACGCCGTGTACCTTGATTTTCGTAAGGCCTTCGATTCTGTGCCCCACCAACGCCTCCTGAACAAGTTGAGAGCATGCGGAGTAGCGGGCGCAGTGCTGAACTGGATCCAGTCGTTCCTGACAGGACGGCACCAGCAGGTCTGTATTGGAGGACAGCAATCACCATGGTCACCGGTGTTAAGCGGGGTTCCCCAGGGTTCTGTTCTGGGGCCAACACTTTTCATCGTCTTCGTGAATGACATGCCCAGCGTGGTCGGCTGCTCGATTAAGATATTTGCCGACGACACGAAGCTGTATAGGAGAGTGCAAACCGAGCAGGACAGGAGACACCTACAGGATGACCTGGACGCCATTGCCGAGTGGTCCAAGGCCTGGCAGCTACCATTCAACGAAGAAAAGTGCGCGGTTCTCCACATCGGCAGCCGTAACCCAGGGTGCACCTACACACTCAACGGCCTTCAACTCAGTGAGACGGAATCGGAGAGAGATCTTGGGGTGCACATCGACACTGACCTGAAATTCAGAAAACAGGCAGCAAGTGCGGTTGCAAAGGCATCACAGGTGTTGGCCTTGATACGCAAGTCATTTCAAGCCATCAACTGCGACACTCTCCCCCTGCTATTCAAGTCACTCGTTCGGCCCCATCTTGAGTACGGCTGCTGCATTTGGGGCCCCTTCTCCAAGGCGGACCAAAAGGCCATCGAGAGAGTGCAGAGACG